TTGACTCCTACTGTAGATCTTCAACCCTTTGTATCTTTCCATATCCCTCCCATGGGTCTTCACTCATTCAGGCTCTCACTTGCCTCTCAGCCTTTAGGCATCTGAGAAACGTCTTATAGCTCTGAGTTGACTGTAAGAAACTAACAGGTGAAGGAAGTAATATAATAAAGTACAGTGAGTAGGAGCCATGTGGCGTTTCTGCAGAAAAGCACACCTAATGGATTCTTGAACCTCTACGCTGCTGTCAAATGGAAAGGAGACGCATTAAAACACGAACAAGGGAGAGTAAGCAAAGTCACTTCTTCCACTGGCTAATGATTTGATTGAGCCCTTCTTAATGGCTCTCCATCTGTCTGCCGCAGAGTGACACCAATTTGTTCCATAACTTCAGAGAGTCGGTGCCCAAGACATTCAGCAAAGCAGCACCGGTAAATTTGTCAACAAACAGCAAGCACATGGCAGCTAGTAGCGTCTGCATTAGGAGCCGAATGGCTCATACACTTTTACACACACACACACACACAAATTTACAAACATAAGACACAATTTCATATTCCTGGGCTTGTACACACAAGCGCGTCATGACGTGTTGGCCTTTTGCTGTCTTACTCACTCGGCAGCTTTCTCTACCTAAAGAAAAGAATCACAAACCCTCTTACAGAAATTAACCACATGCCCAAAACACAAGCAGGCACGAAGAAACTAAAACCCACTCTCACACCTGACTACTGTGTGAACACAACTTAAATAAATCCAGACACAGTTTGAAGAAAAGAGAAGGGTAAAAAGAGAAGCCCTGAGCAGAGATAAGCTTGAGGGAACAGGCCCGTCCAGAATTCTGATCAGCAAAGTAGATACGAGTCATCTGGTCCTTGCATGCCGCTTCATGTCGAGTACAAAATCACTTAGTAGTGATTGACTGTATCCTGCCTTTCTTTTCCATTGTGTGCAGACGCTTCTTCTGTTGCAAGAATCACTTTCTTGTGGTTAACAAAGAATTAAGAACATTTTAATCACTTGTAACCATCTGAACTTTTATAGGCTATTTGAGCGTATACATGTGTGTGAAAATAACATAGTTTAGTAATTAACCTCCAGTTGAAGGTCAAGCCTGAAGGCATTCAGTGTTCTGGTGTACGCCATCTTTATACACTGTTTAATTGTCCTTGGGGGGTGATGACAGAGTAAGGTTCGCCAATGCAGAAGGGAAACAGCAAAGTCGGCTGGAAGGCCTGTCCGTGCTTGCTCCTCAGAAATGATAAACACCCCAAATCTCCTGACCTCTTGGTGGCTGGATGCTAAAGCTTGGTCACATCCATAGGGCGTAGATTTTGTCAGCTCTCTTTCAGTCAAAACCTAATAGTCCTAGCAGGCATACAATTTAAAATACAAGTAAACACGTGTCCGGATTTAAGCTTTTTGCATTTTGCAGCTCACATGAAGGACAGGAGCACAGCTGAACCAGAACAATCCATCTTTGTGAAGAATGCCTTATGTGCATATCCTAGAAGCCCCATAAACAGCACTGCCTTAGTAGTGAGCCACAGTGATTGTAGACAAGCCTGACGTTGAGTAAGAATAAGATCAGTTAAAGTCTCTTAATTTCCACACACACATTAAAAATACCACAACATACTAACTTTATGTCACCACTTTGAGGCAAATAGCTAAACCCCAACATGAAAGTCATGAATGCTTCTCTCTTCAGCTGGTCACATAATTACAATGACGCCTCAGGATAAAATTCCACCATCACAGTAGTGAAAAAGCCCCTTTACACGATGGATCATGCTGCCAGGTCAACTGTCTGAAACGAATCCAATGACGGTATTTTTAAGGGAGAATTTTGTTACTCAGAGATAAAAAAGGCAAAGAGAAAAGAATGGACCAATTCATCTCTAATAAGGGAGAGCATTTACTGCCAAATGCCAAGAGATGAGTCAAATTAGGCATCTGCTGACAATAGCATGATGATTTCAAGGATGGAGACATGCAGGATGCAGTCAGACTGACGGCAGACGATAATTTAGGGCTAATAACATCAGTTATTAGCAAGTATGTGTTGGAATGTACATTTCCAATACTCTTATTTTAGACTTTGTCATGTATAATAGTAGCTAATATTATTGTAGATCCGATTATGAATGCAGCTTGTGAACACGTATAGATAAAAATACAGCACGTTTATTGTTCTTTTTGATGTCTATATCATCTAATTCAAAAAGATGTGCATATTTTCTCTACAAACTTGTACACAATGTCTCAGCTTCATCCTGTAGGGTCATGGGGGAGTTGACTAGCTGACACTGCTGGGAGGTGGTGGGGTACATCCTGCACAGGACCAGTCCGTCAGGCAACTAGCACAAACATGCACATCCACACTCATATTTGCTGCCAGTTTGGAATCAGTAATTACCTCACACGCCTGTTCTGGGACTATGGGAGGAAGCAGGAGTACTTGGAGAAACCTCATGCAGCAACGTGAAGAACAAACAAACTCCACAAGTAACGCAGCAGGTTTAAACTCAGAGCCTTCCTGCTGAGAGCTGCATTTTATTTCCTGAACTCCTGAAAACAGTTATTTGGAAATGAGAAATCTATTTAGGCTCCAGTTTCGCATATTTTAGATGTCTTAATCCACTCAGTTGAGTCCCACTGGATGTTCTGTAATTCAGACCCAGCACAGTTATCTACACAATGGGGGGGGGCGGGTGGTGAGAGGGGTCAAGGCACGCAGCTTTGTGCAAAAGCAAGCTGCATGCACAAACTCCTGACAAAGATCCTTCTCCATGTGCTGACTGACGATGAGTCCCTGTCCGCTTCCCAACAACCAGAGCTGTGTGCAGAGTGAACAGCTGTAATTGCATACCTTTAGGGGTTGAGAATTTTATGGTAGTGAAGCTAAGTGTCTCGCACTGCTGTTTTGTTTGTCTCATTATTTCTGAGGTTGTAACTGCCAACGAGCATTAGACCCGTTGGTCTGCCTTGACGGGTTCTACCTCTCTTCTGTTTGCTACCCAAATGGGTAAACACTTACTCACACAACACTGATGCTCCCGTCTCTACGTTTGTCACGAAAGCATACAAACCTACAGAACACGGCTCATATCCTCCCAACCAGCAAAACTCCTCGCAACTATTCTGAGGTTTGAACTTCGTGTGACAAAAGGAGATTGGACCCTTTCTGTTTAAGGCCCCCGTCCTATTGAACATAGGAAATCTCAGACACGTTTGGCATCTTTATCACAAAGTATTTGTTGTTGTTGTTCACCTTCTAGAAGAAAAAATAAGCCAACAGAGCCATGATGCATTCAGTTTAGTCAATATAGTCATCCAGACAAGCCTAAATTGGTTTTAACTGAAATATTATGTTGATTTTTTTATTAATGCACTTTTGCTCTATATTACACAAAATATAACAGAGCATTAGAAACAACACATAGAGCTGAAATTAGATAGAATATGCAACTAACACAATATTATTTCAGTTTCTTTTCTCCAAATACAATAACTGTTCAGTTTAATGCTTCATTTAACATTTTTACAACTTTTACTATATTTTTTTGTTGCTTTTCAGAGAGAAAAAAGTTAAATCTCCTTTTTTAAGATAGTGTCTAAATTGAGAATTTACTCTTTTTTTTATCACTGTGCGTTTGTTATTTAAGACTCGTTTTTTATAAGCTGAGTTATTACACCCTGACAAATTAAAACCTACATCCGTAGCAGATTGAAATAAAAATAATGAGCACGTTTGTGCACATCAGATATGAGTTTTCTTTTTTCTCTGTAACACACGATCAAACTTAAGATCTAAACCAGGGGTGTCAAATTCACCTACGAAAGGGGGCCAAAATTAAAACCTTTTTCAAACTAAGGGCCGGTTTCAGAAACTTCATGAACTCAAATCAGATACCCAACATCTTTTCTTGGTTGCAGGTTCCTCAACAAGAGTTTGATTGGTCTCGTTTGATGTTCTCAGTTGCACTTTTGACATCATAATCAATGATTCCTGGAAACAATTAAAGTGATAGAAGTATTTTACATTTAAAATAACATCTTGGGGGCCAGATAAGATGTCAACGGGGGCCACATTTTGCCCCCGGGCCTTGAGTTTGACACATATGATCTAAATGAATAAAGCGTGTGACATTTTGAGTTTTAAATTTTCAGCTTTTAAAAATATATGAAGAAATACTTATTTGTTCTATATTTTTAACCCCAGTATTCTTTTGTATATTCAGGACATGTAACTCATCTTCTCTCACTCCTCGCAGTTATTTCTGACATTCAAATGCTTTTTTGCTCAAACTGGTGGCTCAGGATAATCCCACACAGTGAGGACTGGCTGAGGAGCTCGTGAACGTGGGGGTAATTTTCGGCACGAGAACATAAGCACGAGGCCTGGTTTTTTACCCCAGTTCCCACGTTCTTCTCCCGGGAACTGTGCGGGGGTTGCCATGGGAACAGATGAATTCTCGGGACAACTCCGCTGCTGCCAGATGACCCCCCCCCCCCCCCCCC